GACTTTAGTCTTTGCAACTTTACAGATCTTGTTTATGCACCAAGAGCTTGTAACACTCTAAAGAGAAAGGAAAAAATGAAATCGCATCATATGACCCCTTTAAAGATTAGTAATTAGTTCCACTAATTATGAAGCTAAAGTTTGAGTGAAGTTTACTGGCTTGATCAGCATGACTCTGCTCACAGGTGGATGCTCCCAGCGAGTCGGGTAACCAAGATGCCCATTTTACCTCCAGCGAAATGCTTGACCAGTTGCTACAGGAGGACGCCCGCTCAGGAACCGGCTCCAACGCTTCAGGCAGTGGCTCCGGGGAGTCGGGAGGCTCTCTGGGCTCCGGGTCGGGACTCTGTTCTAACGAAACATCTACCAGCCATACCGGTGCTGTTCAAAATCACTCGTCCATGACACTGAATGTTGTGTGGAAAGAATTATGCATGTTTTTTTTTGCATTGAATTTCCATTATCAGGAAAATTTTTTGTTTTGTTATGATTTTTGTTTTGTTCTAAATTTCAGTCTTAGGCCCCGTCCTCACGGAGACACGTTTAGCTGTATACGCATACATTTTGTATCGTATAGGCGTTTCGTCCAGTCGGATCCGGCGTTTTGGGAGAGTGAAACCGATATTTTTACAGCAACAAAAACATGAACAAACACTGAACGATTGTCTTTTTATTAACTAACATTAACACAGATTAATAAATGTATTGTTCCAAGGTTTATGCGCATAGTCCACAAGTCTTCTCTGTTTTTAGTGTATCTCTGTGGCAGCATTACAGCGCCACATGCTGGTCTGGCATGTATACTACATCGTTTTGTGTCGGTTTCGTGGTTTCGTGTGGACGCAGATATTTCTTGAGACGAGGGGAAAAAAAAGATTGGATAGGGAAAGCTCTGGCTTCGTGTGGACGTAGCCTTAGTTTTGGTTAACTTTAATAGATCAACCTATCTAGGGTTTGAACTAGTGATAGGTTAATTAGTCGTCAGTTAGTTGGACTGTTTCTGTCCTTTGAGATTATTGGCATTGGTTAAACAGAAATGGTATTTCATCCTTGTGTCAGTCAGTAATTCCTTAAAACAAAACTTTAAAGCAATATTTAAATAGCATTCAATAATATTTTATTAAATTACTATAAATGTAATATGTAAATATATAATATATAGTTTTTTTTCTTTTTCATTTTGAGTGAAATATTGTGTAAAATGTGTTAAAATGTATATTTAATTTATTTAATTAAATATTTTTTCATAAATATTTCATTTATTTTATTTTATATTATATTTCTGCATTTTTGAATGTGTATGGCTGATGCTCAAGCTATATAATACCAATAAAAATAGATCATTCCCCATGTATAAAATCAGGGCATGGTGTGTATTTTTTATTTTTTTGTATTATAGTGCTTTACCATCAGCCATACACATATGAAATTGCAGACATAAAATAAAAAATATAAATGTAAAATGGCATTTATTATTTATTAAATGCCATTTCCACCATAATTTGTTTTTTGATGGTGTTTTATCAGTTACATAATTTCTACTACATAAACGTCTTCCACAAGATTATTTTAATGGAAATTCAATTAAAAATAAAACTCCACACCCTCATTTTGTTCCTGTATAACTTCCTTTTTTTATATGAAACACAAAAGTTTCATTAAACTGACCCCTAACGTTTCACATTCACAGGCAGCAGCAATAGCAGCAAGTACTTCGCCAGCAACGATTCGTCGGACACGTCGCGGAAAGCGCGCAAGTCCACGGAGGCCCAAGAAAGGGAGCATACGACCTTCAAAAAGCACGTGGACAACCCGTTATGGAGCATGATCAAGCAGACGCCCGAACCCGTCATGATGACCTATCAGATCAGTCCCAGGTACCAGACCCGGAACGTTTCTCGCTCTCTCTTTCTCTGAATCCTGGGTTCCCCCGCTCATTCTTCTGAGAAACCTGAGAGAAACGTGACATTTTGAGCATCTCTTTCCACAGGAGAAAGAGAGCGCTGCCAGGCTCTCTTGCCGAGGTAGTTCTGATCAAGCTAAATGTCTCATTGCGTCAGCCCTGAGGTAGGTGACTCCAGGTGACGGTACACAATGAGACCCGTGATAAAGAGCTTGACTAGGTGACACAAGCACCTTATTATGAACGGAGGAGAAGGCGAATCTGCCAGGCCTAGATGTTTTTACAGTATTAAGATGTTGAAATCAAAGCAGTGTGCTGTCTAGTGTCATCAAACAAACGTATGAGGCAGCGTAAGTGAGTTTTATTTTGTGTGTGTGGATATCCATGCAGGGATCAGGCCCAGGTTCTTCAAGAAGACAGGGAGAAGCTGGTTCTGATGCAGCCCAGGCAGCCCTGGTTCACCCAGGACCAGAAGAAGGAGCTGGCCGAGGTCCATCCCTGGATCCATCAGTACACGGTCCCACAGGAGATCAACACACAGGTCTACAACTTATTTACATCAGGATCAAACATATGTATCGTTATAGGCCAGTATATTGGCCATATTCTTTCATTTGAGATGGTCTACTTATAAATGGATGCATGGCCGATTAACATAAGAGCAATTATAAAATCTTATCTTACGACAGACTTGGATAATGCACATTGTTCCAATATATGGCACTTTCAATAGTGGTTGGATCTGAATTTAATAAAATAAAAATTCTCTACATTGAGTGAAAAGAAGTGCCTCATCAACAGAAGATTTTGTATCTGGATAATATATATATATATATATACACTACAGGTCAAAAGTTTAGCAACAGTTGTGCTGCCAAATATTTTTTTTTTTAAACTGCGATACTTTTTTCAGGATTCTTTGATGAATAAAAAGTTATAAATATATAGTTATGAATATATAAGTTATCAAAATATAAATCTTTTCTAACAATATAAATCTTTGCTATCACTTAACAATTTAATACATCCTTGCTGAATAAAAGTTTTAATTTCTTTCAAAAAAAGAAAGAATAAAAATGTACTGACCCCAAACTTTTGAACAGTAGTGTATATTGTTAGAAAATTTCTATTTTAAATAAATGCTCTTTTTAACTTTTTATTCATCAAAGAATCCTGAAAAAGTATATATTAAGCAGCACAACAGTTTCCAGCACTGATAATAAAGCAGCATATTAGAATGATTTCTGAAGGATCATGTGACACTGAAGACTGGAGTAATGATGCTGAAAATTCAGCTTTGCATGACAGGAATAAATTCGATTTTAATGTATATTAAAATAGAAAATCGTTATTTTGCATCATAATAATACAGTATTTCACAATATTTAATTTTTTCCTGTATTTTTGATCAAATAAATGCAGCCTTGATGAGCATAAGAAACTCCTGTAAAAACATTAAAAATCGTTCTGACCGGTAGTGTATATATATATATATATGTATGTGTGTATATGTGTGTGTGTATATATATATATATATATATGTATATATAACGCACACGTACTATTTTATTTTTATTTTTTATTTTAGCTTTAGTTATTTTAGTACATCAAGTTAAACTAAATGTTGCTTTGACAATTAGCTGAAATTTTAGTTTTTTACAGTACATATATATTTTTTATTTATATTTTATTATTCATATTTATATATTTTATTTCAGTTCATGTTTATTTTATTTCAAGTAACAAAAGTAATTGTATGGTTTTAGTTTTAGTTAAGTATAATACCCCTGCTCATCAGGAGGTAAGGCTAAATGTTTTATTTTACATTTATTTGATATGTGATTTGCAACCATGTTTATAAAATGTCTGAAATACAGGTTTAAATGAATGAATGTAAATGTGTGTTGCAAATTATTAAAATATATAAAAATATCTTAAAATACATTTATAATTGCAAATATTTTTCTATAATTAACTTGATTATAAGTTTATCAAAATATCAAAGGAATATGTTATGATGCTATGATTTAATTTTGATTACTACCAATTGTTAGATCCAGTCAAAAATGTCGAGACCACTGAAGGTCTACTATTTTTGCTATATTAATCATTTACACTACTGTTTACACTAAGTTTGAGGTTGGTAAGTTTTTTTTATTTTTTTTTAAGAAAATGCTCAATGTGATTGTTGGTACATTTTACCAGTTTTTACCATACTTTCAAAACAAAAATTAAAATAGGAAAAATATGCAATATGAAAATAATTGAAGACAAAATGTGTTTTACTGAGAAAAAACAAGATTTGTTTTTTAAAAAGCCTTTTTCCAAAAGGTACATCTGGAAAAAGGGGGGTCATCTTATAATCAGGGTCGTCTTATATTTGGGCCAATACGGTAATATGCTGATTTGCTGGTTTGCATCATTCGACTGCTATCTTTATTGTGTTTCATCATGATCCAACATATTTATTTCTTTTTTTAGGGTTGTGTGAGTTGTAACACCATGGAACCGGGTGAAGAACTGAATCTTCAGACTGACTCTCCAAACCCTCCCACTCCTGACAGCTCCTGTCCGTCATAGGACGCTAGACCCGACACAGACACCTGACCGCAGACCCTGCTGGACCTCCAGCCCTCTGGGACTCAGTGATTCTTCTGCTTTCAGTTGGGAATCGTAGGAAGAGAGAGTCACCCGCATCCGTGTGCCAGTCTCTCATAATTCCTCCTGAGTTCCCGAAACGAGGCAAGCACTTTGCGCTCGATCAAACCACGTCAGAGAGAGTTTGGACACTTGCAGGAGACGGACATTGAGTGACGGTCGTCACATGACCATGCATTTCTCTCTGCTGTTCTCCGTTACAGTCCATGGACCCAAACAGCTGTGAATATCAGACTATAATTTGGTAGTGGTGTCATAAGAGCACTTCATATTTTTTTTGACTGTTGCCCGAATGTTTATTTTTAAGAAAGGTTTTTGTTCATTAATAATGTGTCCTGTACTGAATCTTGAATCTTGCAGGCTCAGGAGGGTTTGTGATCTCCCAGAAGTCCCTGTAATGAGTTTCCTGAACACTTGCGCAGATATAAATGCGTATAAAAACATTAGCACTCTCCGCCAAAATCTAACAGCATCTACGAATGGAAATGAATGATATTTGGTCCAGAGCACAAAGTTCTTCATTCCTTATCAAGTTCATCCAATCCAAATGAATCATTTGACTGAGGCCTTAAATTAGTTTTTCTGTCAGTGTTTTCTGTTCTCAATTTCAAATATTTTTTCCAATATACATGTGATTGAATGATGTCAAGCAATGTCTTGCTCTGGTATAAAACTCACAGCGATGGTGTAATCGGAATATGCAGATATTTTTCTGTTGTGTCTGTTGGGTTGATGGGTTGAAAATTAAAACAAAATTATAAATAAAAGTAAAAAAAAAAAAAAAAAAGATTTATATAAATTTACATCAAAAAATTATGACCATTATGATTATTGACATTGTGACATTTATTTTCATGATGTGAATTTGGGAGGAAAATCTGATTAATTGTCAAAATACAAAAATAGAAATGCAATCTTAATGTTTTTTTTTAATTAGTTATATTTATGCTTTATTATTATATAGTATATATTATTATACTGTCGCTGGGGCAGTACCCTTTAAAAGGTACACCTTTGTACCTTATTTACCACTGCAGGGTCCATATTAGTACCTCAAAGCTACGTATTAATACCTTTTGGGAAGGTAATGCCCCAGAGACAGCTTTTGTACTTTTTCTTAGAGTTTAAAAATATAAAACTTCTCAAATCCATCATAAAGTACCCAAAAAGATGAAAAAAAAAACACTGCAGTTTACCGTATTATTTTCTCCAAACTTCATTTTTGTCATCTTGTCGTCTTTATTTATTAATCTGTACTGATCTGACGTGTGTCGTTGTGAGCGTGTTTCCTGTGCTGTTCCTGAAGTCAGATTAGACGCCGTTCCTTTAGGTTTTGTAGGTTGCTGCAGTAATAGAGAGCTGCCAGAGGCCCGATTACTGACCCGTCAGTCCCACCCAACAGAAAACCTATGATATGTTCAGTTTTGTGATCAAAGATACGCTTTGTACAGTTTTTAGAAAGAAGTGTAAATATCAGTCCAATGTATTTTACGAGAAAAAAAAAAAGTGCAAAATACAACAAACTGTATGAAAAAAAAAAAAAACATTTTGTCAATTTCAGGAAAATATTTTGACACTACATGATAACTATGAATAAAAGAACACAATGACTCAAACACTGTTGTTTTTAAATGCAATCCTCATATTTCTCAGTTTTTGCTTTTTGTATTTTTTTTTTGCCTTTTAATCGTCTAAAGTAATAAGCACACAATAACTTTTTTAAACATATTTTCTTTATTTACATCAAAGCTTAAAGCATGTACAGGTATGTACAAATAAATTATCCACTATTTTTCCTACAAACATAAATATATTTCTTTGCTAATTTAGTGCATCAGGCCCACGGAGTTTGTGCACGAGTGTTGAAAATTACACGTAAAGTTCATGAGAACACGCAGGTGCATGTACTGTAAGTGTGTAAGTGCTTGAGTGTTATTAACTGGATGTTTCAGACACAGTATTTCCAGAAACACTCTGTGCTGCTGCCTCGTTTGCGATACTGCTTCCTGCCGCCCAGGAAACGACTCAACAACGGCTTTTCCAGCAAGACCTGAACGACAAACGTGAGTCAGTATGTTTAAATAATGCTTCATTGCTGTCTGTTGATATAATGTTCAATGATGGCATGGGTTTCATTAAATCACTCACTTCTTTTGCAGCTTGACTCGGGACAAATCCAGCTGTTTTGAGACCTGAGAGGGAAATGAAGAAGAGCAAGACTAGATAAGAGTGAGTTACATCCAACTGCTGATATCAGTCCCTTCTGTTACTGTAACTTACTATTTAAATGTAAATTATTACAAAAACTTTATGAATTATTATAAATAATGTATCATTATTTATAATATTTTATGTATCATTATTTATAATAATTTATAATTTAACTTCCTATAATTGCTGGACTAATGTAACAAAATTCAGGTTTTTCGGGACATCATTACAGATTTAGTGTTTCTGTTTAATGTCTCAGTTGTTTCTCAGATTAAACGAGAATGTATCTCTAAACTTATTTTATTTCAGATAGCTGGCAAGGCAACGTTTCTCATTTTCATTTTGTACCTGATGTACTAAACTAATAAAAATGTTTGTATAAAAATTAATAAAAACTATATAGATTAAAAAAAAACTATTTTTAAACACAACAAAATTACTAAAACTTTAAAGTTAAAATAAATTAAAATACAAAAATATAAACATTTAAAATATTAATAAAAACTATAATAATATCTCAGTGATACTAAAATAAGACTGGAAAGCATTTCTAAGAGCAAGATCTAAGCTATTAAATTGTCCTCTGGATGGATTCACAGCAAGTTTCAGCGAAGAGCATATTGAAATGAACCGCTCACCATCACTGCTGATGTCTCCAGTGAAGAGGGACGGGTAACCGAATCCCGCGGCACCCTGGGACAGATACGCTTGCTTGGAGTAACTCAGGTCGTCTGGACTGACCACCTGCTCCTCTTCTACAAGAACTACAGGTGAACATGACACATAACATCAGTCTGTCTTTAAGAACATTTATAATATCAATACCGTACAAACAGTAATACTGTGAAAAATCATTACAATTTAAAATAAGTATTTTCCATTGTAATATATTTTAAAATAGAATTTATTCCTGTGATGCAAAGCTGAATTTTCAGCCAATATCAATGTTGAAAACAGTTGTGCAATATTATATTATATTATATAGGGCCTATTATCTTAATAATAATCATGTTTTTACAGTCTTGTCATTTAAGCGAGTTACCCTTCACTAATCCCTGGAGAAACCTGAGATTTGAACCTGTAGACTTTAGCTTGTTGAATCGGTGTGTGTGAATGAGAGCAGATGAGAGCTCTTACCAGGCCTGGCGTAGGTCATCTCTGCCGAATGGATCAGCGGATGTCCCAGCAGTGGTTCGAGGACGCTGAGAAGCAAAGCAGAGAATAGAAAGAGTTTACACATCATGACGACACGTACAGACACACACAAACTCTCTTTCTTCCGCGACTTTAGCCAAGAGGGTCTCTGTTAAACGTGTCTGTCTTGTTTCTGTCCTGCACTTATATATCCTCCATCGCTGGCCATGTCATCTCCCCGTCTCCATCTCTGACCTCCTCCCATCCCTTCGTATATTCTGTGCTTGTAAATTCACAGGGGATGAATTAATGGATCAATAAAACTGAAAGACAGACACGGGGTCTGTGCGTCTGGGATGAGCCGCACCATTTTACCAGTTCAGGATGTAATCCAGCCGAGTTCATAAATCCGCCCGAACGCAGGTGGGAAAACGCCACTTTGCGTTAGAGCTCGCAGGAAGGAAGTCGGCCAGGCAAATTGCCCACTTAATTCATTTATTTAAGAGGCTGCTGAGATTTATTTCCCATGATGCCCGCTGCGGTTTCCTCCTTATGATCCCCGTGCCTTCTATTTTAAGAGACGGGAAGTGGCAAACAGAAAGTGTGACCAATTTTCTTAATGGTGTAAAGAAAAAAAGGTGAGAAGCTATTTTGGCCACAGAGCTTCATGTCAATCACATTTATTAGTCTGAGTGATAGACACACTGCTTCAACCGCACATCCATCCATCCATCCATCTATCCATCTATCTATCTATCTGTCTGTCCGTCCGTCCGACATCTATCTGTCTATCTATATGGTCTGTCTGTCTGTCTGACATCTATCTGTCTGACATCTGTCTGTCTGTCTGTCCGTCCGTCCGTCCGTCCGTCCGTCCGTCCGTCCGTCTGTCTGACGTCTATCTGTCTGTCTGTCTGACGTCTGTCTGTCTGTCTGTCTGTCTATCTGTCTGTCTGTCTGACGTCTGTCTGTCTGTCTGACAGACATCTATCTGTCTGTCTGACAGCCATCTATCTATCTGTCTGTCTGAGGTCTGTCTGTCTGTCTGTCTGACAGACATCTATCTGTCTGTCTGTCTGTCTGTCTGACAGACATCTATCTGTCTGTCTGTCTGACGTCTGTCTGTCTGACATCTATCTATCTGTCTGTCTGTCTGTCTGACATCTATCTGTCTGTCTGTCTGACAGACATCTATCTGTCTGTCTGTCTGTCTGTCTGACATCTATCTATCTATCTATCTATCTATCTATCTATCTGTCTATCTGTCTGTCTGTCTGACGTCTATCTGTCTGTCTGTCTGTCTGTCTGACATCTATCTATCTGTCTGTCTGTCTGTCTGTCTGTCTGTCTGTCTGACATCTATATATCTATCTATCTGTCTGTCTGTCTATCTATCTATCTGTCTATCTGTCTGTCTGTCTGCCTGTCTGTCTGACATCTATCTATCTGTCTGTCTGTCTGACATCTGTCTGTCTGTCTGTCTGACATCTATCTATCTATCTATCTGTCTGTCTGTCTATCTATCTATCTGTCTGTCTGTCTGTCTGTCTGACATCTATCTATCTATCTGTCCGTCTGTCCGTCCGACATCCATCCATCCATCCATCCATCCATCCGTCCGGCCGTCTGTCTATCTATCTATCTATCTATCTATCTATCCGTCCAACCCAAGCTGCTTTTTGTAAATCTGAGTTGGGACGCTTTCAAAAGGTACTAATATGCACCCTTTAGGGGTAAATAAGATGCAAAGGTGTACCTCTTTAAAAGGGCACTGTCCCAGTGACAGCTTTTGTACCTGTTTTTCTGAGAGTGTTCAAATATACTTTCTGCTAATGACCTGATGATTAAGACTGTCTGTCTACAATATACAATATTATAAAACTGGTCAATACAGCATTCTAGGCATGAAACGTTTATAATACGTCTGTAGACATGCCCCCAAAATAAAATATTGTAACAGAGTTATGTTTGTTGACCAAAGTCTTGAAACAATTCCTCAAAATGAACAGCAGGTGGCGCGAAAGGCGCGTGTGAAACTCCACATGATTCTCTTTGTTTTGACTGAGAACAAAAGTAGCAGCGAAACTTAAACTGTCATTGTGTGAGGAAAAATCCCCCAAACATGAAGAACGGAGGACACGGAGCTCACGCTGGAGAGAAGATGAGCCTGAGATAGACGGCAGTCAAACGACACACTCATGTGTTTGTGTTTTATTGTGTGTCACGCCTGATTCACGCGCGTGTGTGTGTGTGTGTGTGAGAGAGAGAGACGCGACTTTCACGGATCCGCGCG